AAATAATGGAAACTCATGCCCTGACAAATCCCTCTGTGTAGAGTTCGTCCGCGGTCTACCTCTCGGGCAGGCTAGTACTGGTGGCTCATTCATTTCCATAGCCCCGGGATGCATTCGTTCGAAAATGACATCTGTCACGTCCGTGATCTCAATTTCTGACCGCTCACGCAAATCATTCATTAACCCTTCTAGCCTGCCAATAGCCTGTGACCTGTGGTCGGGAACAGAACCAACACTTTCATCTAGGGAATCCCCGAATCCCGAAATAAATGTCCTCCACAAAATGTGGACATCCTCTGCATAAAACACACCACGTCGTGCATTCATCTTTGCACGAATTTCATGTCTGCATGGGAGTCCAAGACATTTCCTCATATAACAGACGCAACCGTCTATGTCTTCATCCTTCTCATCGTCCAACATCTGCAGAGCATTATGTGTTACAATTCCACTGGACAATATTTTAAATACGGGCACGTTGATCGTATGGGCCCGAATCCTCTTTGATTTTGCAAAATCGGCTAGTATCTCGTTAAATTGATCTTTCATCATTGAGTGATACTGTGCCCAAAATGTGTCGAAGCCACCCGTCGACGATTCCAACCATCTTTTCAATGCTCTATGGTTGCTCTCCACCCGAATATGTTTAGAATATGCTATGTTTCAATAAACTACATGACAGTAAGTTAAGTATATGTATTTAACCACTTATAAATAAATACCTGCTTGTCGATGTATTACCCAAATGGAAAATTAGATCCGTCCATGCTTTTACAAATTTCTCTTTGTATACGAGCCAAGTGTATTGGAGATACTCAATCAAATCTGGATAATTCGCGTACTCGTCCAACAAAGCTGTGTAATTCATGGCGAAATCTTCTTCAGACACTGATTTTACCAAGGTTTGCCACGTACCAACTACAAAAGCCGTGCCGCGACGCCTACTATTGCCGAGACATCTTGAAGCACGACGCCCCACATTCATGTTAATGTGCCAAAGACATAAGAGATGAGGTACGGTCGGAAATACATTCTCTAGCGCCTTTATGAGCCCTAACTCTCGATCCGTCACAATGGCACTAGGTAGAGTCTGAGGGGGGAAAAGTCTCTTCAGCTTTTGCAACACCCATGTGTAATGGTCTTCATTTTCATGGCGCAAAAATGCGACTGCTACAGTAAATTTTTTCCCGACAGGAGTAACACCAACAATCTCCAACAAAGGCAATTTGTACTGATTGGTTTTGTAAGTACTGTCAAGTAGTAATACGTAGCGGAAACTTACTTAACAATTCGACAGATTGAGGGTGAGCCCACATCAAATTAGTAACTGCATGTGTTGTTTCATCAGTACGGAACCACTTGTAATAGTTATTGCTCCTCAAGCAACCTAATCAAATGTTGCATCA